AAAAGAAAAATGCTAAAGATAATATTTTAGGGGAAGTAACTGTGCATACCATCGATTACGAAATTTTTATGAGAGGTCTGGTGGATAACCTGGTTCCCGGGACTACTTTCCAGATATTAGCTAGAGAGAGTCCAACTACAGATTCAGGGACTACCAAAAAGAATGGCTAGTGATGCCAACTATATTTATTAGGTATGGAACCAATACCAGAGTTTTTTTTCTCAAGAAAATGTCAAGAATCTAATAGTTTTATGAAAAATAACCATGTCAAGTAAAAGATGAATGTCGTACATTTTAGACTTTTTAAAATGCAACTTCGCAAGTAAGTAATATATGAAAAACATTTCAGAGGTAAGCAAGCCAACATTTGATTTTTATTTTGGGGAAAACAGAAAAAGGGGGGTTGGTTGGTTAAGATAAATTCAAAATAAACAGCCTTGATCCGTATTTTGTTGGCAAAATGCAGGATGTGCCATTCCATTCCCCCATTCCCCCTTAAAAAATAATAAAAATCGTACGTTTGCTCCCAAATATATGAATTCAATATAAATGTATAAAAAGAATGAATTTCCTATTTCAGTAGTGAATGAAATGTTATGAAAAAATGGATTTTGTCTTGTTATTAAATATATATAGGCATATATTTTGGATTTTAAAAAAAAAAATCATGCTTATAGGTTTTTATATGTCTTATAGTGTAGATCGGGATTAGACACGTGTCACAATATGATCCAATCGCAGCTTACCGTCCAAAATTGGTGCATAAGTTGAATGATTTTCTTCAAGATTTGCTGCCTATTTGAACATGTATTACACGGACACTTTTTTTTATAGGATCAATCGTGCATTGGTGAGTTGATAGGGATTTTATCTTTTGATTAGATTTGATTTTTTTATGTATATTTCCCGTCTTTTTTATTGAAATATAAACGTCGGTACCAGCATTTCTTTACTTTCAGCATTGTCCAGAATACTATTCATGTCCATATATTGAAGAAAAAAATTATTATGGACCGACCATTTAGCTTCAAAAGGGGGATATGTTTTTTTTTTCTGAGTAAGAAAACTATCACCCAAATATTTTTTCCGAAATTAGCACTATTATATACGGTATTCGGAAAATCAGAACATTATTTTGTCATCTGCTTGACCACAATATATTTTTTCTCATAAAATTGGGGATCAGAATATTTTTTTTGGAAAAAAACATAACCCCCCTTTTGAAGTTAAATGGTCAATCCCTTAGTGTACTGATATGAATAGTAATATACTTGAGTTGTTTGGAAAAAAATATAGTTATTGATGCCAACGTAAATATTTCAATAAAAAAGACAGGAAATATGTAGGTGAAACAAAAAGTTCAAATCTAATTGAAATTTAAAGTGCTCGTGGACTCACTGATCATGCACGAGTGATTCTATTCATAAAAAGTGTCCGTGTAACAACTAAAAAGTGTCCGTGTATCATCTAAAAAGTGTCCGTGTAACACCCGTTAATGTACTGTTTTTATATAGCTCTGCTGGGGGCAAAGTCGTACAACACCAGCATAAAATACAGAATTATAGAAAGGCAACTTATGATGTCAAAACAAAATGTCGGAGATGACAAGTAGATTAGAATCTGCCTTATCTAAATATGGACTACCAAAAGCTCAGGAATTATTTTTAGTCACACCAGCTAGGGAAAAGGGGAAAACAACTGTTAAGTGTGCCATTCAGCAATATTCGAAAGAAAAATGGGAAATGAAAAAATTGGAAAAATCTACAATGAAATTCATTGATATTGAGACAAGGCCAATGGCAATCCGCATCAAATATGGAAACTTGCCTCAAACAACACTCTAGAAGTTAAAACTAGAGGCTCTAAAGAGCCTGTCTCGCTCACCTGCATCTACAACAATAGCATGCACTTTTGAGTAGAAATCACCATTAAAGGGGAATAACTCTATTAAGAGATAAGTGACAATTTCAGTCATGTTGACATATATGTAGGTCTTATCCTGCTGATAATTCTCCCTTTTAAAGTTTCTATTTATCTATTATAGTTTTCAAGATAATAGGCAAAATATGCAAAAAAATGTTAAAATTTATCATCAAAGGACAATAACTTCAATAACAAGTCGACTGCAGATTTCTGCCATTTTGGCGTAGTTGTGGATCTTGTCTTGCAGATCATTTGTGCTATTTAAAGTTTCTATCTATCTATTACTGTTTTCAAGATAATAGTCAAAAATTCGTAAAGGTTCCGCGGACCCCAGTGTCTCGCCTACTTTTGCTGTTAATCGCAGGCTCAACAAAAATGAGATGAGGAAAAAATTTAAATATTCCTCTCCATACAATTTTTTTATTGCAAGATGCTTCTGTCCAAGTTTGGTAAAAATCCAGGATAGTTTATGAATCTAATAAATGTTTTAAAAAATTTAACTGCAGACTGTATGTAATGTTAACTGGAAGAAAAACTAAGTCCATTTATAAGTAAATACGGAAAAACAGGATTTTTTTAAAAATTTACTTCTGGATACTATCTTATGATCATAAACAAGCTTCTGTCCAAGTTTGGTAGAAATCCAGGATAGTTTGAGAAAGTTATTAAAATTTTAAAAACTTTAACCACAGAGTGAATGTAATGTTTCCTGGCAGAAAAACTAAGTCCATTTATAAGTAAAATACGTAAAAACAGGAATTTTGTTTTTTACAAAATTTACTTCTGGATACTATCTTATGATCATAAACAAGCTTCTGTCCAAGTTTGGTAGAAATCCAGGATAGTTTCAGAAAGTTATTAAAATTTTAAAAACTTTAACCAAGGAGTGAATGTAATGTTTCCTGGCAGAAAAACTAAGTCCATTTATAAGTAAAATACGGAAAAACAGGAATTTTTTATTTTACAAAATTTACATCTGAATACTATCTTATGATCATAAACAAGCTTCTGTCCAAGTTTGGTAGAAATCCAGGATAGTTTAAGAAAGTTATTAAAATTTCAAAAACTTTAACCACAGAGTGAATATTTGTGGACGCCACCGCCGACGACGACGACGCCGACGGAATGTAGGATGGCTATGTCTCGCTTTTTCGACAAAAGTCGAAGGCTCGACAAAAATGGGAAAAATTATCATTAAAGGGCAATAACTCCAATAACGAGTCGACTTAATATTTTAGCCATTAGGCTTACTTGTAGATCTTGTCTTGCTCATCATTTTTTCTATTTACAGTTTCTATCTATCTGTCTAATATTGTTTTTAAGATAGGCTAAAACGCAAAAAAATAGGTCGAGCTCAACATTCTGCACATTTTCTTTATTTATAGCGGTTTACAAAATAATAGGTAAATCTTGCATTTTATCCCTATGTTCTATTTTTAGCCATGTTGACCATCTTGCTTAGCTGGAGGGGTCATCAGGCACATTTTTAAGCTAGATAGTCATACTCCAATAATGATTGTGGCCAAGTTTGGTTAAATTTGGCCCTGTAGTTTCAGAGGAGTATATTTTTGTAAAAGTTAATGACGACGGATGCCAAGTGAGTAGAAAAGCTCACTTTGGCCTTTCGGCCAGGTGAGCTAAAAATGGAGCAAAACTTATGGGATATCCCCCATAAAGCAGTAAAGTTAGCAGGTCTGAATCAATGTCTCCTTTAGTTGCATGTAGTTGGAAGGTATAAACATTGAATGTACGTAGCATCAATTTTGAAATCTTCGAATCTCTGGTAATCTGCATTGATTAATTTAATAACCATAAAAAATATGCATGTTTGCTCATCATCTGAAGACTTATACAGTTTAATCCTACACATCAGGGTGTTGAAGTCTGGGCAAACCCCCTCCTCCCCACTTTTTGGCCAAAAAAATGGATTGAAATAAATAATGAAATTGAAAGAGGACACTGACCAACTTCCAGTCTATTAAACTATAGAAAAGTTTTTGTTTTGTTTTTAACCTTCAGAAGTCAGCCCTCCCACTTTTTGTTTTACTCCTACACCACTGATGCTTGTACCAAGTCAGGTTGAAATATGTATTGTTTGGTTGCTTTGTACATCTGTTTTTTCTGAAGAGTCAAGTTGTGAAGCCTGTTCAATATTTTCTGGTAATTCCTGTTAAGGAGCCACCATTTGATATTTATGGGGGGGGGGGGGGGGGGGGCTAGGATGAAATTTGAAAAAAATAGGCAGGACAGGATTTTTGATTAAAAAAATAGGCAGGATGAGACACTTGCAGAAAAAAAAAGTCAGGATGACAATTTAGGTAAAAAAAAGTCAGGATAAACTTTAAAAAAAAGGCAGGACAGAGATTACAACTAAAAAAAAAGGCAGGACAAAATTTTTCATCCTAGCCCCCCCATAAAAATCAAATGGTAGCTCCCTTATCCTTGTCATGTATTGATATTTCATTTTTTTTTAAATCTTCCTCTCACGGTAAGGAATTTCTGTCACCAGTAAATAACAGACACATGTGCTTTCCTGCTTCAATATAACATCAATTGTTTTTCAGTCTTATTGTGAGAATGACTAGCCAAGATTACAATCTAGGAAATTTTATGGGATCTTTAAAATCCTTGTTTTAAGTTAGTGGTCATCCTTGGTAGCAGGACTGTGCAGTATTTTACAACATATGGTTTAGAAAGGTAAAGGGGAAGTTTGTGGGCACATATAACTGGTTTAAAACCACCACATTTTGTGCCTGTACCAAGTCAGACTATCTGGACAATTGAAGCCCGCCTCCAGGTGCGGGATTTTCTCGCTGTGTTGAAGACCCATTGGTGGCCTTTGGCTGTTTTCTGCTTTTTGGTCGGGTTGTTGTCTCTGACACATTCCCCATTTCCATTCTCAATTTTATTTGGGTGTTGTTGGTAATTATGTGGGTTTTTTTTTGTACTGTCAAACACCTTCAGTAATTCCTATTAAAGGGTACCTCTTTTTTTATGCAGAATTGATCTGAAATCCACAGAACTGTCAACGGTATATTTAAATGTGTTGTATTTCTAGAATTATACAATGTAGTCAGTTTGATATTAATTTGTCTTTTATAAATAATAAATATTTGTATACAATGTGTACAGTTTTACATTAAAACACTTTTAAAATACCCTACATATTCTTTACATATATCTGTCTATCTATGTTTGATTCATAGCAAAAAATTATGATTCAAAACACTCAAAATATAGTTACAGAGAGTACTTGTTTATGATTTGAAAAATTATCCGTAGTTATCTTAAATAAAAGGATCCCACTTCACAAATATATTAAATAAAAAAAGAACAAAAGTGCACACGCTGAAATGTCTCGCCTTCTTTCCTTACCATCGATTTTATGTTGATAGTCCTAAATATAAAGCTTTACTACAAATATCAAATAAACTTAACATGTACATGATCCAAGAAAATGAGGTCAAGGTCAGATAAACCAAACTGGAAAATACATGTACACCTTACAATCATTCCATACACCAAATATGCTTTAAATAAAGTTGACCTACTGCACATCTAAGAAACAAACTTAACCAGGAAAACTTAACATTGACCAATGAACCATGAAAATGAGGCGAAGGTCAGATGAACCCTGCCAGACAGACATGTACACCTTACAATCATTACATGCTTTAAATATAGTTGACCTATTGCATATCATATCTAAGAAACAAACTAAACCAGGAAAATTTAAGATCGACCAATGAACCATGAAAATGAGGTCATGGTCAGATGATAAATTCTAGAATGAGGTTCAAGTCTTTTGTAATCAGGCTCATTGTTGGCATGAAAGAAATATTTTTTTTTCAGAATTTAAATTCTACTGGAAAAAAATCTGAAAATGTAGAATATGATCAATAAAATTTTCCATTAGTTTACTTAACACACGTTTCAAAACAATAGAAAATAATTTTCAAAGTTTTGCATAATGAATTCTTTCAGTATAATATTATACATACATGACATATATGGATTTAAAAAACATGTCTCTGTTCACCTTACATAATAAAAAAAAAAACACACAAAAATGTCTGTACTGACTATTTTAAAAATTATTGATATTTAAAAAAAACCTTTTTAAATAACTAGTCATATAATGACTATATATACATTTATATAGTAATATGAACATAATTTTACTTCTTATAGTACGTGAACATTTATTTAACCAAGTTTTGTAAAAAGTCAAACTAACTTATAGTATAACCAAGTTTTGTGGAAGGAATCCATTTGTTAGAGTGGCTTACAATTGGAGACATTCTTGAGCTGCTATTGTCATTAAAGTCATCTGAATACCCATCATTACCGAGAATATCTTCTTCATCTGAAGGAATATATGAACTGACTGATTCTGTATGAATAGAATCTGGTTTAAAGTCAATTCTCTTTCTCTGAGCTGTTTTCTTTCTTGGTGTTGGAGTAGGATGACGAGAACTACCTGGTGATCTTGGAGTAACAACGGGTGATGTTTTACCAGATCCATCTAGTTTTGCTTGTGATTTACGAATGGCTGGTAATGGTGATTGCATTGAAGCTTTTGGATTAAGAACTTGAAATCGGGCCGATGTCATGTTATAATCAAAGGGAGGTAATACATTTGGTGAGGCTTCAGATCGATCTGTACTTAAAATGTCTGAAACTTCCGATTTCTCACCAGAACTCATAAGTTTCTGAAGTTCTGGTTCTTCAGTTGACTGAAACTGTTGTGTGTCAATATCATCATGAGATTTATTAGGTTTGGAATATCTTGTAGACTCTAGTGGTTGATAATCCTCTTCATAATAATTATCCCTTGTTGAATTAAGAGAATCATTGGTTTTGCCATTTATTGATGCAGGGACGGAAACATTATGATCGATAAATCCAGGAAACCTGTTATCTTTCAGACTACTTTCTTCAGATCGACTTTTATCAACATGTCCAGGATACATGTATTTGTAACTTTTAGGACTATCAGTAAAGTCACTATCATCTTCATACATCTGAGCACTAGGTATTCGCACTTCAATGCTTTTGAAACTCTTTATATCTTCTTCATCAGAAACATGTTCTTCTTTTTCTATTTGTCCTGAATTTGTAAAATCATCGTCTCTAGATTCAGATTTACTGGATATCTGCACTTTACTAAGATATTTGTGCTTTGGAGATTTTGAACGTTTTCTTACAGGACTTGGAGCAGATGGCTTTGGTTTCCTTGGTGGAGAGATTCTCCGCCGATTCTTTTTCATTGTAGATTTCACTGTATCGTCAAAGTTTGACTCATTTTGCTCACCTGTATCATCCATTTCATTTAAGTTTTTCTCTGCCAAACGTCTTACTTCTGTCAGTGTATCAGAAAGATTTCCTTTTTCAAATTCTTCATCTTCCCTTTTGACTGTTTTTGTTTTCAAAGCTTTTGCTTCTTTTTCTTCTTTTTCAATAGTCTTTAACCATTCAGGGTTTACTTTTGCTAGTCTCAGTCTTTGAGTATTTGTTAGACCATATGCTAATTTGGACTTGCTGACACTAACATTTGGAGTTTTTCTGATCCATCCTTTCTTTTTAGGAACACCATCAGAAGGTGTTGTACATACTTTGTTGGTTTTACGTCCTCTTAATTGTACATCTTTTTCACCAGCTTGAATATTTTCCTTATTATCATGTAGTTTTGATTTATTTGGAGAATTTTTGATTTCAGACTTTTGTGTCATGCCAGGCTGAGGGGCAGGACATGGTCTTGGCTGTTGCCTGTCTTGTGTAGCTACATTAACTTGATTCACAGCAGACTGAACAAATCTAGGATCTTGTATTTTTGAAAGCTCATTTAATAATGCTGTAAGCATTGGAAATAAAGGTCCATTTGTCATTGATCCAGGAAATCCCAGCATTAAACTCTGGAATTGACCAAGTGCAGGTGCTTTTTCAGATGACGGCTGCTGAATTTTCACCTGGTTTTCCTCTCTAGTTCTAGGTTTTGTTGCTGCAACTTTTTGAGATTGTACATTTCTTGGTGGTTTACTTAGCGTCTTTTCTTCATCAGAAAAATCATCTATTGTTAATTCATCTGTATAAACACTAGACACATCATCCTGGTAGTACAAGTAAGGCCTTTGAATTTTTACTCTTGGTTCATTTTCACTGTTGTAAAATAATGGTGGAGGATTTACAATATTATTTATATTAATAAATTCATCGTCACTTTCATCAGCTGGGGGTTTCAGTTCTATGCTAACCAGTTTTGGTTCTTTTCTATTTTTATTCAACTTCTTTTGAGTTTGAGTTGACACTGTTTGTAAGTTTTTCGGCTTTTCTGTATTATCAGATAAGGCAACATGAATTTCTTTGTCACACATATCTATTGTTTGCATCAGAACATCATGTTTTTCTGGATCTGTCATAGAACCCATATCTTGTGATGTTGACAACTTTTTTGTTTCTTTTGTTTTTGCTCTTTGGACAATTTTAGCACTTTTTTCACTTTTCATTGGGGCATGATATTGTTCTTGAATGCTTTCTTCAATCTGCTGTGAATGTTCTTGAATACTTTCTGATTGACGTTTGGCTATTTCTCTCTCTGGTATATGTGGAATGAGACCAGATCCTAGGCACATCAATCTATAGCCTAATATTATATAACCTATTTCTTTCCCCATCAAATTGAACACTTTAAATAGTCCTTTGTCCCCATGAACAGATGGTACAGTGTCTCCAACTCGTCGAATATCCTCTGCAATATCCTTTATTACCTCATCCAAAGGCACAGTTGTGTTTCCTAAAAGCTTTGGAACTTGTGGGTAGCTGTCAATTATCATGACATACATAGGTGTATTTGATAAATGTGTTTGCATTGTGTTGAAAGGCAGTTTCAGAAGGCAAGACTTTCCCTTTTTCAGCTCAAAATTTCCATGTTTGTCGGTTAGTTCGTTTATTTGTTTCGGAAGTTCGTAATAGGGATCAGATGAAACCTTCCTCCGAATTTTCGAAGCTAGTTCGGGTTCGACATGGTCAATTAAAATCGTTGGATAATCTAAAAGTCTAAATGCCACAGACGGAAACCGACATACTTCGTGCGGTATGTATATCTTTTCCACCACTAATTCTAATGAAAATAAAGACTCTATGTCCCTTTTTAGCCTTGCGTGTTTAGAGTCCATGATTTCTTGCTTTAGTCCAGTGTTAACATTACAACCAAGTCCACTACTAGACAAGTTTTGACAGGAAAAAAATCAAAACAAAAATTCAGTGTCAATTTGACGCTTTCATAACCAATAACCAAACCAGCCACGAACACCGGATAAGCTCTTATCTAGAGAAAAAAAATGAAAAACAAGTTGCTTTCTTTAAAAATAGAATTGCAATCGTGAACCTAAATACCTGTTTGGAATGAAAGATAAGATAATTGTTTCATAAAGATGCATGATTTACCTCATTTCTTTTTTATATAAGATGTATAGACAAACTGACATGGATTCTGTTTAATGAAACTGATGTTCTATGTTGGGCATACTTTTCTTGTTAAAAAATTATTTCTCGATCTCCCATCCCTCAGTCGCTTCCGATAGATAATATTACAACATGATAAATAAGAAGCAACCACTGAATTTTAATTCCTTTCTGAGGTGTTATTTTGGGAATTAGAGGTAGCTTCCTGGCTGAAGTCGAAATGTAACTGAAAACAGTCTTTGTTGTAAAGAAGCTTAATGAAATGAATCATGATTATTAGCTTTTGTAGCCAGTTTGAAAATAGTTCAAAACCCTAAGCTATATTCTTATTTGGTAATCCCGAACTAAAACCATTTTGGAAAACCAATTACACTGGTTTGTATGGTTTGGTCATTGGCTATCATATTCAAGATATGCTTGATCTCAATTTATTTATACCCCATGCAGGCAACAAACTCAAATCAGATATTTAGAGTAGAAACAGTTTGAAACCTCAACTTTATACATGTACTTAAATAAGTTTGTTCAAACAAATCTCAGTTTTTCATTTCATAACTTGCCCTTTTGTAAATTAGCCATAATATTATGAAGTTTTTGATTTGTTGTTTTTATACGAGTGTGTGACAGACAGAGTGAAACAGGAATAACAGTGTCAATTCAGTATAGCTCATGTCCAGTACGCAATTTAAAAATCATGTTTTTGCAATCGCTTGTTCGTTGAATACCGATATTGATTTTACGAAAAAATAATTTGATACTAAGTTGTGCTATTTTTTCGTATGAATACAAACGTTTTTGTGTCGTCTAATTTTATTTTGTCGCCAAAAACGCTCTAATCCTTTGTCAACTTGACTAAACCCCTAAATTCGCTTATGATTACAGATAGCCTCGACTCCTTGAAAACAAATTGACGGAATTCCCAGAAACTTGCACTGATTCTTCTTTAGGGTGGACATGAAGTTTTGCACCAACTACTTCAACTTTAAATCTGATTTTGATTTTTTTTTGGGAAAAGGGGGGGGGGGGGGGTGTTGATCCCTTACCAAAAACAAAAGAATTGACTATGCCATTTATAACTATATTTTTTGGAGAGAGTAGTTGACACACGTGCTTTGGAAAACTCACACATTTTCCTATAAAAAATTAACATACGCATCTCTAATTTTATAAAATAATCTGGAATAGGTAATATTCATCTTCCTGTTATTATAATTCTTTGGACAATTGCTAATATATTTTCGCATTCATCATACCGTTAGTACCTTGAGTATAATAGTTTTCAATCCAAACATCAAGGAATAGATCAGATCTCATTTTTTTTACTTCATAGACCATAAGTTTTAAATAAATAGAGAGTCATCACTTCAACTCCAAAGAATATCACTCAGTGTCTGTAAATCGTTTGTTATCTATAGAATTATTTTAAGGACTGAAACGCATATTCATTTATGAAGTTTCGATATGACATATATATTTCAGCATTTAACACATTTAAAAGGTGCCTTTGAATTTCGTCATAATTTCCAGGGTTGACAAGTATTTTAAAATAAGATTAAGTATGGTTTCTTTATTTAAAGGGAAACTCCGCAAAAAAATGAAAAATTGATATTTTGTTCTTTAAGCATAAAAAACCACATGTTCATAAATAAAAAAACTTTTATTCTCTTTGTAAAGAGATCAAAATCGATTTTTGAAATTCACTATCAGTTCTCCACATATCGCCATCTTGTCGGCATGTTCGATCTAAAAAGTCACGTGATATCTATAAACCACAAAGAACAAAAAGAATCGGATATTTACCGACCGTGCGTTAAAAACTCCCATCATCAATTGGGGATTACCGTAGACGGTTATTTAGTGTCAAAATATCTTGCCAAGCGTACGGTTGTTCTGTCCGACAAGGTTATGACAAAAGTCTACATAGTTTTCCCAATCCCACAAAAAAAGAAAGAATTGTATCAGACATGGTTGTACAACCTTGAGCTAACAGCAAATAGTTTCATCTATAGCAAGCACAAGTTGGTGTGTGAAGACCATTTTGAACAATATTGTTTCGAGGGAGATTCGATGGTAATTATCCTTTTTTAATAACAAAATAACCTAGCAGTTCTGATAGCTATAGTTATCAAATCCGTATATGATAAGATCTCGTTGAATAAAAAAAATATAGATTTGATGAGGAAGAACAGTTTCAATTATAAGAAAGACAAATGCAGTGTTCTTGTAACAATCACTGATTTACAGATGATTCATTAGTATGCCTCTTTTATATAAAGTGCATTGAAGAATAATTCCGTATTTAGACAAGATAATTTTTCAATTAATAAAGTTATACGATATAAAATAACATTTTTTAATTATGATATTTAACGGCTATTGACAAGGAGCAATGTTAGGAAGAGGCTTTAGCTGGGACATAATATGTTGATATAGTATAATATTCCGGCCAGGTTATAGATATGTTAATATCGAAATATCGGACATGTCAATTTTTTATCAAAAGTGTTTTTTTTTAACTAATCTTTAAATTATATCAAATTGATACGGGATCAATTCGGAACGTTCACTTATAAAGACATGCACTTAGCTTTACAGTTAAATGTGTGACTCTATCTGGTATGTTCGGTAAAAAATTTATAGGTTTTTTTTCTTTTTAAATTTTATTTGCGTTATCTTAATATATATATATTTTGGCTTCCTCCCGAATTGATAATAGGTATGTCAGAATTATTGATAGATGTCGTGTCAGAGCGACACATTCAGTTAGGTATTCCAAGGACGTATATTAAATACACGTCCCTGGGTATTCCAGTGACATCCTGTCAACTAAAAATTCGTATTACACAATTATATAATACAGGTTCATGCATGGCCTCTTTATTGAGGTACCCGGTGTGCACAGGTAACATTTATTGAACCATATATTTGTGTCTTACGTTGTTTATCTTGTGTGTGTTCGAAATTATAATTCCACCTTTTAATGAATGATGTTCTGATAATGATAGTATTCACTATTTTTGCTGATAATAAGTTTTAAAAAAATTATAAACATGCCCTTTGAACACTTTTGTGAAATGAATATTGTTTCGTCATGATTCTGGACCATATTTTTGAAAAAAAAATTCTTCACGCAAATACAAGCTTTTGTCGATTGGCAAACATGCAGATATATAAAGTAATGCAGCACTTATAATCACTATCAATATTAATTCATTGAAGATAAGAGAGCCCCTTCTATGTCTAATGTCCCTATCTTTATAAGGATTAGGACGACAGGGGAAAAAGGAGCGGAGATAGAGTGGCATAGTGAAAAAAAATAACCGAATAGAGAACAATATAGAGAATGATCGACGAAAAGCGAAATAGTTATTGTAAAGGAGCGGAGATAAAGAGAGGCATAGTGAAAAAAAATGTTTGCTTGACAAAGTTATTGCTCGCTTTGATATTTTTAGTTATACAAAATCACACATCGTGTTCCTAATTGGTATTCACGTGCACTAACTTGATGCTGGGAACAGTATATTAATATATATGTTCCTGTTTGATGTGTTAAGTTTCTGCGTATCATGGTTAAAAATAATTAGTATCCCATTTGTTATATCGTAGTGTCACGGTGTTACTTTGTTAAATTTATTTAGTTTGTTAATGATTGTGTAAATAAGAATAAATCTGTATAAAAACTTCATACCATTTTAGTGATTGCCTATAGGCGTTTGATTATTGTTACATTTACGATATATATATATATTTATATTTTTAGAACCTTTCATACATCTTAAAGTAAAAGATGTGTGTCTGAGTTAAACGACACAAGAACCCTGTAATACTAGTACGAGAGTATAGCATGTAAAAATTCCTACTCAATATGGTTGTATTGGAAATCTTTTCATACAGATTGACAACTCATGGTCCGACATGCATGTAATATTTTCGACATGACGCTCATAGTTCTTTCTACCATCATCATCTTATTCATTAAATATTGCTGTAAACATCGATGGTTCACACCCAAACAAAATGGGAGTGATATACCTTCAGATCTTCTCCGTGGTATACACTTGTGAAATATATAGACGAAATTCGGTATTGAAGTGATTCTACATCTCACAAACACAATTTTGAATTACGATTTTGAGTGAACACCCACCAAACCAATACAAACGTATGGCAAGATATAACCATGCAGGCATTTACTTTTCGTCAGACACAAGATAAATAATCACTCTCATAAACGTATATATGCATGCAGTTTCAAATATCAAGAACAAGCGGTCGATGTCTATGGATCATTCTTAAGTCCGTTTACTAACTGTTCAGAGTCAGACATGTCAATAGTTCATTCTTGGAACCTTCATATACCCCATCTGACGATGGGAACTCTTTCTGATAGTGTTGACAACATAAGCTTGTTTATCTGTACAAGTGGTTGCATGGCCTCTCCTGCCCCAACAAACAAATATGATACTAGTCTGCTATCTCTGGAGCTCATCCTCAATGGCGCTTAAACGTCAGGAAACTTACAAGTATACTAGTAAAGATTGTTTCAAGAACAACGAGGTTGGGACGAACTGCTCTAAAATCGTCAATATCAGTAATACATTACTAAGATATGCCTTTAATTACAACAACTGTATTACTAATTTGGGTTAATGACGGCTATCCTAAAAATAATCCTCAAACAAATTAATGTATTAGCTTAGATTTATAATGTATGTATAATATATGTATGTAGTTTCTTGTGTATAATTTGGAGTTTAGTATGACGTCAATTATCACTGAACTAGT